GAACAAACGTGTTTCTCAAAAATTACCGAACCAGTTTTGATGAAAATTGGTAAACATAAAAAAGAAAATTTGCATTTTGTCCTTAATTATATAATCGAATTCTATCCCTCTTCTTTATTTTAAACAAATTAAGAAACTGATAAGTCAGCAACTTTAAACACTATTCTATGCAGTTTAAGTTTTGCTCGCGTTTCTGTGAAGGCCTGCAATTATTTTTGAAACTTTTGCAAATAAAGGCACAAAGACAACGTTTGAAGGAGAGCGCGGATTTACTCTACGCGGGATTACGCGTAGATTACGCCTCTAGTCTCCTACGATTAGGAGAGACTAGAGGTAGCTGAGTCATAAATGGAGGCAACAAGAAGGATCAATTTGTCCTGAAATCTAACTTACAGAATCAATTACAGGAGACCGGAACAATATTCAAAAAATCAGTTACAGGGCTCCTAAAAACCACTACATTCCAGGAATAACCCCTATTTGCCTTCAACTGTAAGGCAAAATAGGAAGAAGGAGGGATAACTTCTCGATTCGCAAATGACCTCTCTATTAATTTCAGCTCTCCTGAGTTTCAAAATACATTGTTTAACGAAGACTTAATGAAACATAGAATCTGCATTTCATTCAATCCAGGTCACTGGATAGTCAATCTGACATGTTGAAATCAATGTCAACCTTGACATAGGATTTGTATGCCGGTGTTCACTAATTAGTCAGTATTCTGTCTGAATACTGATTCTCGACATATTTATATATTGAAAGAACCAGAGACCCAATATTATGCCTCCAACAATATGGAAGTGGACCTCTCTGGATATAGTGGTGTAAGGATCTGGGCTGGTATGATATTGGATGTGCACACTAAAGCTGCGCGTGTTTCAGAGAGCCATTGAAGCATATAGAAGATATCTGAGTTTTCAGAGGCTCTATTAGACCCAAATTTTTTTACGGATTGTAGCACTCGTCATTCCCATGTTCGAGGAATACCTTGAGACTAAGAATATTCAGAAGATAGAATGGCTAAAGAGATCGCAAGACCTAAATCCCATACAAGAACATCAGAGATGTTCTTGGAAAATCAGTTATTGATCACAAGCACACACTAGCCTCCTGCCAAAGTATTCTTGGAGTTAAGAAGGGCATTGATGATGGAATGGGATTTATTGTCAAAAGACACCATATACTGTAGGGGTGTCAAACTCGCGGCCCACAACGAACATTTCTGCAGCCCGATTAATATATCGGCATGCAGTAATATATGATAAAATTAAAAAAATATTTCCTCCGAAATTGGATAGATAGTAGCAGAGAAGAGATGTCAAATGTGAAGACGTAAACATTTAATTTTTCTTGTTCTTTTATATGTTTATTATAATGTATTCGAAATAACCTAAGTTTCTGTGAATATTGATGTTTTTGCGGCCCACCTTAAGTTAAACCTTGTTGTTTGGCCCAAGTTAGCCTTTGAGTTTGACACCTCTGATAAACAATATGAAATATTTATTATAAACTGTCGTGCTGTTTGTACACGCCTTATAAACAGCACGAAAGTTCATTATGAAATCTACAATTTTGTCAGGAGTTATCGTACCCCATGTTAACCCCCTACCCTATACACACACACAAGTACTACCTTGTTTCAACACTTTTGGATAAACATGCTTTCATGAGCATTTTTTATGATTCTTTGTAAGCATAGTAAATTTTAAAAATTAACACCTTTTAGTAATATTTTTAAGCATTTTCATTTCAAATTTCTCTGATATAACTTGGTTAAGTAGTTTTTGAAAAATTCGCAAAAATGTGTGTATTCCTAAAATTTTGCACTTCAGTGTTTTTCTCATAGCTCTATGATCTAGCTATAATGTAAATAGAATTTGGTTCTAAAGTTCTCGCGTAGAGTATAAGTAAAAAAGAGTGTGAGATGTAAGTTCAGATGTGTCATCCATATCACGGGCCTTGGAAGTGTGCTAAAACTGTTACTTTTAAGTAATATATGCCTTAATAGTAATTTCAGTCTCCTAACAGGTTTCAATATTATTTTTGGATTATCCTTCCATTATCTTATTATATATTTGAAGTTTTCATCATTTTGGAACATATGCAATGCAGTCTTCTTTCAGTTTGTATTGCCTGGCTCTATTGCCTCTGAGTCTAAGCCAATTGTAAAAAGACAATTCTAAAAGTAATATTCCAAGACAAATGTTACTGTTAGAATTATATTGCACAATAATGCTTCTCTTCGAAAGAGCCTCATTTTTTCATGATTTTTGAACAGATTTTTTTAAAACTTTTGAATTGTTTTTAAATCTGTAAATAACTATGAAATTATTTCAGTTTAAGTGCTATTTGGAGTGTGAGAAGAGTATGCTACCGTCAGTTTAATAGAGACGTGTAAATGATACGATTTATGAAATAACTTGTAGTTTATGAGAATGATACAAATGATATATTTTAATTGTTTCAATGAATTTACCATTTTAGTTTTGAAAGCTGTAATTTCTATAATCAGGAAATTAATAAATAATATAAGCAATTATTAAAACTGATTGAAATATTTCAGAAACTCCGAAATATAAAATTCAATTTAGAATACTTAAAGTGCGCGCGCACATTGCAATACTTTTCTATAAAGATTAATATTTGTGTTATATGAATATCAGCTGTTATTAAATATTCAAAAACTCACATTATTTAAATTTATTTGAAAGTTTGACGAGGAATTACAAAGCAAGTTTTTTTTTTATCTTTATAAGTAAAAAAATAATTGAAGTTAAGAAAAATATTTTTTTTTTATAAAAATGAATTAAATCTGCAACGATAATTGAGGAACAAAATCAATTTTATTTATTTTCATAAAAAAAAAATATGTAAAATCAATTGCAAAAAGAAATATCCGAAGAAGTTTAAATTCTGGCTCTATTGTGTTAAGAAGTTGTCATTTATACTTTATTATTGCATTTTCATTAGTTTTCGGTACTCTACTGTACTAATATTTAAAATCGTATGGTAACTAACCATTCAATTTTCAATATTAGTTGAGAAGTGTTCCGAAAACTCGGTACTTGATAACCCGGCAGTCCGGATAACTCGGCCACACCCTTTCAGGTTGAAAAAAGCCACGTGCAGACCCATTCCAGAACGATATCGACAAGACTTTATGCCCGATGCAGAAATTATTGCTACCGTCACAGTTAATAAGAAAATTCCGGAAAATGAGAAAGACGTTAACATTGAGGACACTGAACAAACTCCTAAAATATCTCATAGTGAGGGACTAAAAAGCAGGGGTTTTTAATCTTATTCCTCCTCTGGGACATCTGACAAACAGGAAACTGTTGGCGGACTCAGTCCAAAAAAAGTATAGTGATTCTAGTATTTCTTTATTTTCATAAGCATCATAATATATCCTACACTAAAAAGATAACAAAAAATCCGAACCGGTTACATTTAATACGATTTTTGGCATTACATATTATTCACTAATTTTTCAAAGTCAGGCTCATAAGATGATATTCTCAATCTTATAGCATTTACGTTATTGCTATCGTTAAGTCGAAATCTGATTGCTGATTTAATTGTTTTCGTTGTTGAAAACAATGATTCACATAAATATGTGGAACCCAAACAGGATTTTAATTTTTAAACTCTTTTTTTTTCGAAAAGGGATATTTTTTTTTTTATCTTCGGCTGGATTCCAAATATTTTCATTAAGCCCACACGATTTCAATACAATATAAGTCTAAATATTTAAAATATCATCTTCAATTGAAGATGTTTCTTCCTAAATAATTTTCCTCGTGAAATTTTCAACTTTAGAAATATTAATTCGAGGATTGAAGGGATTTACAAAAAAATGAAGCCACTGGCTATTTTCGAAAAGCTTATAATAATAACTTATTACAATAACAACTGATAAGACAAAAACAGTGTTATCAGTACTAGAGGTAACAAAACTTGTTACCTGTACAATAATTTGGCGTCATATATTTTATTTCTATAAATATGATGAGTCTCGCGGTGACACAAAAAATCGTGGTGGGACCGCGGGTTGGCCACGTTTGATATTGATATAGTATACAGCGGACAGTCGCTCGCGGGCACATCGGCGTCCGCGCGCGCGAGGCTAAGAACCCCTAGACCAAAGGTTGTCGAAACCGCCCTTCGTATTTTGAACAAGGTGCGTCGGTAATAAACTTATTGCTCCTTTGCCATCTTCGTGATGCAGCAACAAGCTGCAAAGTGTAATACCGAAGATAACAGGAAATTACACATCCTAAAGAAAAGTAGTCAATTTTTGCAAAGTTTTGGCTAATTAGTTTTCATTAAAGACAGCTTTATGACTCCATAAAGTATTTTTCTGAGGTGTTTATTAATTTTCATTTTCATGTAGTGAATATGTTCGAAATACGTACTTCATAAAATACGTACTTTTCCTCTGGCAAAGGGTATTTGAGCTGTTTATTTTCTGTTGTATTGTCACGTAAGCAATACATACAAGTGTAGCACAAAATTTTATGAGGAAACACACGTACTTATTATTTTTTTAATCCCATTTTCGATAACAAGGCATTTTCACAAACTGGACCACCTTTCGGCCTAGGTTAGACTGAGCTTTCGGGACTCTACTGTATCTCCAAAATTTTTACAGTATTTATTTTATTACAAAAGAAATTCCCTAACGTACAGGAAACTAGTAATATATAAAAATGAAATTTTTAAAGTCAATTTCTACTTAGGTCAAAATTTTTTTTTATTTTAGTTTTTTTTTATTAAATAATTAGAATTATAAAAAAAATATAAATATGTATATACATATGACAGAACCACAATATTAAGTGACAAAATAGAAACGATTTTCCTTGCAATTTTCCATTTTTCTTTCTATATATGGTGTTGGACTATTATTTTTGTTTGTTACTATTTATTCATTAATTAAATTTAATTATTCCAATAAAATAGTATAGTAAAAAAAGAAATCACATTCTCAGAAATTAGGCCATTCCACGTGGGATTCAAACCCACGACTTTTGGATTAGAACTCCAATGCGCTATCCAATGAGCTACAGGGTCACAATGAGCAGTTTTCCTTTTTATATATGGTGTTGGACTATTATATTTGTTTGTTACTAATTATTCATTAACTAATGAATTAATATTTGAAAAACTACATTAACATCAAGTGCCACCCACTACAAGTTTTAGATAATGTTTTCGAACTTGAGTGGATGAATAAAAAGAATTTTATTAACGATTGGAAATTTGAACAAGAGTTATATAGGGAAAGTGGGAACTAATAGTAGGAATTAAAGAATAAACAACAGTAAAGAAAATATAATACTTAACTTAATTTTTAATTCAATGTTATTACTTTTTCAAATATATATTCATTTTTATAAATTTCAAAAGAAAGGACAATATTATGACAACAATTCAAAAATCTTGTTTTAAAACATAACCTTTTTCACTTCTTGAAAACAGTTTCAAAAAATTTTAAAATCCATTTATTAAAATCTTTTTTGTGTGTGAGTAAGAACATCAAAACTATATATTTCAAAACGAAAACCTAAACATATATTTGTACTCTGCATTACAAAGGTAGATCATAAAATATTTTTTAGAAATTTACTAAAAAAATCTTTTTTTTCTTATTTTAATTTTATTACAATGCATAAATAATTTTTGAACCCATTCACCTACGCTAATTTAATTTCCATATTTGGTCAAACACCAATTAAGTATGGCAATATGTATGCATAATTATTTCCGAAATGGTCTTAAATAACTTCCAAATTCAGACATTTTCCATATATTTTCAATGTTAACACTATAATTAGCATGCAACATTTATTTGTATTTGTGCTTACAGGATTTTAATACAAATAAGCAATTAATCTGCACAACCATTTTTTTTTATTTTGAACATTAAACTATATTAATAATGGAGCAAACGATTGATTTTAACGAAGCTTTCCTCATAGAAATTTACAAATCAAGATAATGGTTAAGAAAAAATGTATTTAATTTTCTCGTTTTAATATTACTTGCGTTTCAATTCAGATTTTGAAGTAGTCAGGGTATCCATATGAAAAAATACGTAAAAAATATATTTTCTCTATCACAAACAGAATCCAAAAATATACTGCCCCCCCTTCTATAAATTATAAGTTAAATTTCTTGTTCGTATTCATTCAATAACCTGAGTGTATTTATTGCTTAAGTGAAAGATATACATAGAAGAGAAAAAAATTAATCTAATTCATTATACAAACATTTTGTAATAAAATTGTTGCCCTTTCTATATCATGATATGTGTCAGTTATAGTTCCGACAAGCACAGATACTGCTCAATGAAGTAATAGTGGGAAGTAGTGTTGGTTGCTATAAGTCACGACTGGTACTAAAACTAATGATGGTGCCGCTAAGTCAATGCTTTTCAAACATTCCATATTTGTGACCCAATTTTCAATCATAATTTTCATCGCGTCCTCTCATACAACAATTATATATATATATATATATATATATATATATATATATATTGAATGCCATAATAATGTACTTCAACGCTAAAGCTACAATGCGACTTTAATATTATAAACTGCACAAATTAACAATATATGTATTATATTTTGTATATATGACAAAACCATGGAAGTCACTAGTAATTACTAAACTTGCTTTTAGTTTAGTATTGCTAAATTAATTATTAAATACTTTTTGCGTACTGGTGTATTTATAAGTATCTTATATCAGTGTGAATATGTATTTTATTTTTTTATCATGCCAGAATGTATTTTGTTTTGCTTCTTTCACTAAATGAATAATTATTTTAAATCTTTTATTTTGGAACTTTTCGATATGTTCGCGCCCCCTAAGAAGGGTTATCATGCCCCCTTAGGAGACGCACCCCACAGTTTGAGAAACACTGCACTAAGCGATGATCATGACGAAAAGATACGACTACAAATTCTATGGCATCGTATAACTTTTATATTATAGTTGAAGATGAAGTGCATTTAAAGAACATAAGTTTTGTCATTAAAAAGAATAAATAAATAAAAAATCATTAAAAAAGTGAGAAAATTAATAGGATTCAATATGGAAACTAATCAGATACGTTTAAAGGCGTGGGCCAACTTGACTGGGGCCCAGGACTTCGGCCTTAGGAAGGGTCTCGTCTCGTTCTCAACTTAGCTCCAATAAGGTCATGATCCGATTATTCTAAATCGTGATATTTTTATTTGCCAATTGGCAACAGTAGTACATTAGGTCATGTCCGTTGTCCATGTCTAGACATCGGCTTAACACCGTACATCGTTCATTACTCATTTAGTCGCAAATTGGCCGGCGGTAAATTTGTTTTGTTCCTAAATTTGGGAGATTGGAAGTGACGCACATTTATTTGTTCCGGGTTTCCATTTATATGAATATTTGACAAGGTATACTGTATACTATATAGTTAAAAGGTTTGCTGGAGAGGCCTACTTATTCATAATAAACCAGGACTGCAGGAAATCGTAGACATCTAAACCTAATGCTGAAAGGTTACGTTCCGATAATACGGAGTACTATTATTATCATAATACTTCCCATATCCCCGAAACTGGATGATGATTCAGTTTCAGATTCAGTTTCCTTAATATCGAACTAAGCAATACCGAGGCTAGGGACAATATGCATCGTACTTTTGATGAAATGTATTCAAGATGATCCTTACTTTCTAATTTTCATACCACAACATATTAAAATTAATTTTGGCTCTATTAAATTTAACACACAGCAAATCAAATTATTGGACATAAGTCTTTAAAACTTTCATGTTCCGTAAAAAAAAAGTATTAATGCTTAAGAAATGATACAGAAAATCACTTAGTATAAATAACATTTAATATAACATGAATCAAAATGATGGTGTTTTTTTTTTGTCCAGATATGGATTCGAGTGTCCAGGTATTCTTGCTGCTCTACAAGAAATAGGAGCCCTGTTTTCGTCAACAAACCTCTATGTCGATAATGTTGAACAGATTGCCAAAACAGTCATCTGGGGCCATAGTACTATCTGATTTGGTCCCGTCATGAATACGACATCATTACCATCATCATCATAGATTCGATTCCGGGTAATTTACAGTGTAGAGGAATTAGGCGCGATAAATTTATCAAACCTTTAATTCCTCACGATAGCATGATGTAGAAGTTTGGAGAATGGGGTAGAAAGTAGCTTCGAAACACGACGTTAATATACAAACAATCAATCAACAAAGGAAAATGATCGCTTCTCGGGTCATTAAGTTAGAGCCTTTCTTTCCTATAAACCTTTTATACATCAGTTACTTAAGCACATACACATCACATTAATCGATGTTCATTTCTATTATTGCTTGTTTCAATTAAATTCCTGAGTCGTTCTTAAATGATGACAAAAACGCAAGCTACAATAACCATTGGTATTGTCCAGCAACTTATTCCACTGCACCTCTCATCACTGCAGTTGGGGCAGTTTCGAACATTGCTCCCGAATATAGCAGTGTCCGATTCTAAATGCCCTCTTCAGTAATTGTCGTATTTAAGGGAGCACTAACCGTCTAACCCTTTTCGATCAGCTCAAACTTCCGGACCGGGAGATCCGTAATTATTTACCATAGGGGCTTGAGTTAAGTAGGTATGATATGACGTACAGCGGGAATACATATTGTGGGTTCGCTCCAGCTAATTGGTTTTATTAAGGAAGCGCTAATTATACCGGCAATGCGCGCATATGGCTATCCCAAATTGAGGGGAAATCAGAATAAGGACGCCATCATTCTATGTGGGACCGTTCCTGATGACCAGGATTAAAATTGAGATTGTAATGATATTACTGAAATAATACCCTTCAGGTCCTCTCTCTTGAGTTGGGAGTGAATTGAAAAGACAATTCAAGTTTCAAGTGCAATAGAATACCTTAACCTTATTTAAGGTTTATAAAACGAGTTGAACAAAGAATTCAGATGGAAAGGAAGATTTCCGTTAGGTTTGTTCAGTAGGAAAATTAGGTAAAATTGTAGAAATATTTCGGAAGAAAATTAAGGAGGAAAATATTTTGATGCAAGAGTACCATGGAAAGAATGTTTCTAATCTATTCAATATTTATTTTCATACTCAAGGAAGATAAAGGGGAAAAGATAAGTTTGGGAAATATATAGAAAGTTATTTTTGTTTTATAATAGCGATCAAATTTATGGATCTCGATATACAGATAAGACTTCAATTATACCTGAGATATAATTTATATTATACTAGCTGTTACCCGCCCGCTTCGCTGGGTATTTCATGATGTTTTATAAATTTTTACTCCTTATATATATGTATAAATTATTGATATCTAAGTCCTAGCATTAAGAATTCGATTGAATAGAAAAATATACTTATACCTGTAACTGTCACCTGTTGATAAAAAAAAAGAGCAGAACTCATCTAATTTGTATTTTCTAAAAATCTCTAAAATTGAAGCATAGAATGATGTTTGCTCTTTCGTAACTCAAAAACCAAGTGGATTCCCGCAAAACCAATTTTCGTGGTGGATCTCTACTCCGTAAATTGAACATGCAAGCCAAATTTCAAGTCTAAATCAAACAGAAAAAAGCAAAAGTTTTACTATAAATATCCCCGTAATCCCGTTGAGAGCCGTTTTCCAAAATTACCGCTCTTAGCGGATTTCAATTCAACAAAAGAAAAATGCAAACCACATTTCATTATTATAGTCCTTGTAGTTCGATAAAAAGTTATTTTTATCAATACGTCCCAGTAACCCCCTGCAACCCCCAGAACTTGATTTGCTTAAAATTTATTCTTAGTGGATCCTATTCAACAAAAAAAAACATGCTTAAAAAATTTCAAGTATATGGGTCTAACAATTAAAAACAGGAATTTGCTTCTGTAACTCCTCTTGACCCCTCGCAAACATCTTTAGGGGTCAATTTTCATTTTACTCTTTGTTAGAGGAACTCTATTTCATGAAAGGAACATGCCTACCAATTTTCAAGCAGGATGATCAAGTAGTTTAAAAATGGAAATATTTATCGATTAC